GTATGTACCAGTAGTTTATTGAAAGTATCTATTTGCCTCTTATTTGACTTCATTTATAGATATAAATAAGCTGAGATCATTTATAGAGTTGTCTAAACATTGATTAAGAATGATTGTAAGACGTTTTCGATCAAGAATGAAATCAAACATCATAATTGGTCATCATAGAAATTTTCACATTATAGTTTCAGTGCTATTTTGATTTATTTAGATTTATATTTTTCTTCTTTGAGTTTGATAGTGATCATATGAACTTTATTCAAGTCAGAAAGAATTAACTTCGCACAATTGAGATCATGTAATGAGGGTGAGATAATAGTAGGTTAAAAAAGCTCATATTATACTATTAAAGGAGCAAATTTCTAGTATAGTATCAACTAATTATTCAGAATATTAGATATGTGAAGGCCTTTTTGGTTAAGCGCTGTAATTTTTGAATGAATACAAGCTATTTGTACATATTTTTTAAGAAACGAGATCATAAATCTTTAGAGTATGCTAATAAATATCAAATTAATATACATTTGTCAGTAGTTTAATTATACTTCTTAAATAAGATTTCAGAAAAAATTTATGACTTTTTTTGAATATAGTTTATCAGGAGTCAAGTTCAATAGTTGGCAACTATTCGCAAGAGCATCCACTTTTTTGGAGAAATTGTTTCATGATTTGTCATCCATTAGGTCATATATATAAGATTTTTTTAAAATTTGGTTTTTGGATTTAATAATTACATTAATCATCACTATACTTATATTGGTAAAAACTATTAAGTGGTCTGAGATGTAAAAGTCTACTGCAGTGATGTCTATAGTGTTAATGTCTGCTGCTATAAGTGATAAGCAGTAAATATAGTTAATCTTAATAGATTAGTATTTGGCAGAATGAAAGAAAAATAGGAAGTATTAGTTGATATTATTATGAAGAAAGTCAAATATATTGAAGAGATGCAATTCATCTAGTTGTGAGAAAAATAGATTTATGTGAGACATATTACTAAATCTATTTAGAACAACATTAAAATCACTGATTAAAATAACTTCTATGTTAAGATTTCATACTTCAGCAATTATATTTGTGATGTCTTTATATGTCTGCTTATGCAATGTCTAGTTTGAACTTAATATGTAGCAATTGATAAGATTAATGTGAAATTTGTTACAAAAATTAGAAATTGACATAAATGATGTGACTGTATCTTCTATCATACTTATAAATATGGTCAGCAAGTTATTTTTTTATCAAAAACCTAACACCTATACCAGATAATTGAATACTAGTATTGAAATTAAAGAAGGATATAAAATTAGAAGAAAACAAATTGTTGAAATTTAGAATATTATTATTCATTTTAAAGTTAGTCTCTTAAATTCTAATATATTTAAGTAATCAAAATTATATAAATTAATTAATAATTATTATTTTGTGGCTGAAAAAAAAATGAACATTATGCATTATGATATTAATACGAAATAATTGAGTAATTAAAACATTATCTGAAAAATTATTATAAAAATTAGTATTATCAAAATTACTTGAGCTGCTAGGGCCAGCTCTGTTATCACAATAATTATGATTAATCATTAAAGATTTTTAGGAATTAGTGAAGCAAAAGCTTCATTAACATTTTTAGTATAACTAGATGGTAGGATCATTTTAGCTATATTAATAAATACATTAAGCTAAGTTTGAGTTAAGTTTAGAATAGACACTATATGTTAGCGATTGCTAAACTTGTGTTGTTAAGTTTAAGGAAGTTGTCTTCTAAGTTTATTCTTAATAAGACATTTTCTTTTTTAAGATTGACAATTTCAGCGATTTGTTTCTTTACAATATTATCTTTAATAATAAAACTGGTTATATATGCATTTTTTTCTGTTTTCATGTCATCTTCATTATAAGTTTTATTAAGTAAATCAGCTTAATAAAGTAAAAGTATATCGATATTGAGAACAGTTTTGACAGCTAATACTTGCTTAATAGTACAGTGCAAGTCATAATCCATTTTTACTAATTGGCTAGCAATTGCTTTAAATTAGTTGGAAATTTTAATAAGCATATCAGGTTACACTATTTAACTATTATTATCATGTGGTTGACAGTAATCATATTCAAAGTCATCTGTTCAAGAACTATATGCATAAATACTTTCATCTAAGATTTCCTTTCCTTATTATTAATCAGATATTGGGTTTGTTAAATTGATATATAAATGAAGAATTGGGTTTATCAATCAATTTTTTGGAACCTACATTCTCAAGATGATTGGGCATATTAGAATTTTTTGAACTGTTAACATTTTTAGGTTAATTGATATTTTAACGTTCTTTTTTATTTTGTGATAGTATAGTGATTACAGTTAGTTTCAGTTTATTGATTAGAGCTTGATAATTATAAAATTACGCAGATTAGAATCTTTGATATAATTATTGTGTTTGACGATCTTTGAGATAGATCTTTTCTTGCAGCAGTTTTGTAATTAGTGACTAGAAGTTTGATAAATAAAACACAATTTTGAGTTTGAAACTGTCCAGATCAGTTTCTTTCTATCAAGGTAGAAAGTTTCATCATTTTTGATAGCATCTATTAAGTTTTTATTTTTAAAGTAGAATATAGTATATTAAAGGTTATAATAATTAACACATGATTTAGGAATAATTCAGGCGATAACCTCTACCACATTGTTGATTAAGATTAAGTAATATCTATTAATAACTAAAGATAGGTTTGTAAATTTTAGGGAAAACTGGAATTTCTTTCTGATATCTTTGTTTGATATAATGCAAAGGTGAATACAAATGAGATCTTTTAGCACGAAGTAGCTATTAATTTTATTAAGAGTAGTCATATTTATTTTCTTCTCAAATATAATAATTACTGAAATTTCTTCAAGAATATATAGTTTAGTTTGAAAACATTTTAAAATAAAAAATAAAAAAGTAAAGTGTATATATTGTTTATGAATATATATTTATTTTTTATTTTATAAAAATATTTTATTTATTTGTTGCCATAGATTTTTGGTAGATATGATACATTTAGTAATCTTATCAAAAAAGGAGAATGTAGATCTCAAGTTTGATTCTATAGTAGAGATCGGGATCTCTATTACTCTAATTAACAATTCAGAAATATATTTTGTGACTGGTTTGATAATCAGAAATGAGAATATGTGATTATCTAAATAAGGAATCTTAAGGGTAATTGCATTATTAGCTTCATTGCATAAGGTAAAACCTATTTAGACAATTTTTTTATTGGGTCATCTAATGTATATGCACTATAGATGCTTACTGAAACTTCCTCAAAATAATTTTTCATATCCTTTTCTATATTTTTAATATAGTTTTAACAGTTTTGACTTTCATCGTATCAAATGGATTTTGTCATATCCCTTATTATGATTTTAATATAGTTTTGTCAAAGTTTCAATTGTTATTAAGAGGTTTTGTCTCTCATCTATAATATGCACTGAAGTACTCCAGAGGAGACCGTCCCATATAAGGGAGTACTGTTACACAATTTATTAAATTTTTTTTATATAGTTTATAATGCATTTTCGTAAGACTAAAGTTGCCGATATGTGCAATGAAACATGAACAAATTAATTAAGATAACTTGAAGTTTTCGTACTACACTATTAACATATTTTTTAATCCTCGTTAATCCTATACCTTTACGTTGCTATCCACCTCTAAAGACATGTCTGAAACAAAACGATGCACAGAATGTCAAACTACTAGCTCGACTAAATTTTGCTCATTGAAGGGAAAAAAATGGAAAGAAGCTGAGAACAATAATTTAGTAAAGGTAACATGGAGGGAAGGTGTTCTTTTATGTAATATTTGTTATATGTATTTTGTAGAAAACCCTTTAAAAAAAGGGTCTAAGAGAGTAAAAATTACAGAAGAAGAAGCCATAGATGAAAACACCGCGGACATAGAAGGTATGAAGGTTGATCTTGTTAGAGCCATCAAGGTGATAGCAAAAATCCTTTACGAGAGAGAACATGTAAAAGAAGAAGGTCCTATTTATGCATTTGATGAAATGCGAAGATTATTGAACCGAGCTTAAAGGATTTCTTTAACCAACTATATTTAGCAACTCAGCTACTCGGACGTAATGAACAAATGATGGAACATATAAAAAAATTAATAGTATTCATTTGTTACCTTCTTACATCGTTGAATAACACGAAAGTCAACTCCTTTAAGTTTGATATTGCATATTATTTAGATTCAGTAGGCACAAGTAATAAAGGTTTGAATATTATGGCAAATATTAGCATGACTACGACGGCAAGAGCAGTAGATTGTAGAAAGAAAAGGATGTCAGATACACATAGAAAATATGTAGAGAATGCTCTTGTAAAATATTCAAATAATGCTTTTGTGCTGAATGTCAATGATTATCACAATATTCATGTTCAAAGGCATCCTGATACTACAGATATGTCATAAGCAACGCACATGGTAACGATCATAGCAAATCTGTGTTTCACACTGACAATACTACATAATAGAGCAATCAATCCAAAAATCCACTGGTCAAATGATGTCAAATCGGGTACTAATCGGGTATCATCCAGTAACCTGAATGATAACCTATTGGTACCCGATTTTTTTTATCAGGTTCCAATAAGGGAACCCGATTGCTATCAAAAAAATGGCGGCAGAAGAGTACACTCATATTCTAATCTGGTTAATCCAATTAGATAACAATCGGGTATTTCAATCAGATAACAATCAGTTATTAAATTAACATCAATAGGATACCACTAACGGTATCCGTTTTTTAAAAATTTATTCAATTGTGACATCCCGATTGTTATCTTTAACCATATTAGGAAATGACTATTTTATATCAATAAGTTGATACTGATTAATCACATTTAAAAATTTATTTTGATTTAGGATTTTTTCAGTTGCAAAAAATATTATTTATTTATTTATTTAGCAGTTAAAAAAAAAGAAAAAAAAAATCCCAGCTATCCACTATCCTTACTCATCACTATCATCACTATCGTATTCCTTTGAAACCAAGCTTATTCTATCCTCTCTTTCTTCATCTGATACATTACGTTCCTTTTTTTCATTTTCATCCAGTTCACTACTTTCCATCACTTCATTTTCATTATAATCTTCATCGATGTTGCCTGGCTCTTTGGAAGGAGAACATCAACCACCGATAAATTTCTCTACAGATGATTTTAGAGAACTGTGATAACTGATTTTTGTCTATTTGGGTGCTGTAACAGGATTGGATTGACGGATGTGACGCAGAAGGTTACAGATCTAAATGTCAGATATATCAGACATAATTGATATATTTGATATATTTGATATAATTGATATATTTGATATCCTAGACATATATGATATATTAGATTTTACATTT